CTATTCAGGACAAAACTGAGAATAAATATCATCCCCTTTTTACAATGAACAAACCGAAAAAAGAAGGCAATTTGAGAGCAGTAGAGGACAACATAACACGTAAGTAATAGCAGAAACTCTAGTTCAAGATTCTGATTCCAAAGTGGAGCTCATCCATTAGGCTACAGCTCATCTAATCCCAGCTGTCACAGTTTTCCCCAGTTCCATCACATTTTTAAAGTCAAGCAGGTGAGGGAAGGCTGATTAAGAGGAAAGGAAGCATTTCCCATCAAAGCACAACCCCATGGTTGAGGGGTTGACAATACCCTCAAAACAAGCTTTGAATCAGTGCATTCCTTTTTCTCCATTGGGTAGCCAGTAATAGTTCACTCTAATAAACTCTTTACTCAACTTTCTATTGGAAATCACAATCTCCCAAGCCCACCGAGCAAAGCTGACTCACTCCCTCGTCCCTCCGCGGAACTGAGACATGTTTACAATTACACACAAGAAGACAGTTATGAGTCGGAGAAGAACATCTAAACACAATGCCATGGAGATTCAGGCAGGGACTGAAATAGAAATAGAGCATCTCAATGTTGATGGGCACTTCTTCACTTTCCATTTGTAGCATTAAAATTGACAATATCATTTAAATAAAATATGTGTTTGTATTCACTTTTGCAAAAACTTCAATTGTTCTCCACTTCTGCAAACCTGGCAAGACTCTTTTAACAGCTTCATTTATGAGTAACTTATGGGTCATAGGTTTTCCTAGTGTTTTAAGGCTCTAATTATACTTCTTTCCTCAAATCTCCCTTAACCTACATATAACACCCATCAAATAAAAGCAAAAAATGTATTTATATTGATATTTTTATATTTTCTTATTTAATTCCTTTCTTTTGGGCTATTACCCATACTATCATTAGAAGAACTTGTCTGTTAAAATATGTTCCCACTAAAGCTTGGTAGCCTTTGAATGCTTGATAAAAATCATCCTCTGAAGCTAATGAAGACAGAAACTCTGCCTGTAACAATATTAAGTTTGTTTTCTCTGGTGATTCAGAGAAGTGAGCAATCTGTCAGTAATACATTGAGTGAAATTACTTGTCTTGTAGGAATAACTGCTGACAGTCACTTTATCTCAGGGCTGACCCAAACATCTCCCTGCTGACAAACAAATTACTATGTCTAACTTTGAAAACGTAACTAGCTTGTTTTTAATTCTGATTAGTCTTTCAGAATCCCTTCTACATGCATCCAGTCCCATCCTTCATTGTATTAAAAAAAAAAAGCAACAAAAAGGGCTTTGGGGGGACAGGTTTAAATTAATGAGTAAGAAAAAAAGTAAGGAAAGAAAAACCCTATCATTTGGAGCTAAGAAAAAGAACTGTTTTGCTTCTTCCCAAGACTGTTATGCAGATAAAACTGGCAAGAGTGTCTACCCAACATTAAGACTGGCAGTGCCGTCACTGACTGACTGGGTGAGTGAACACATCACTGAGACAGTATTGTAGGAATTAATTTTCTTCAATAAAGTGATTTTTAAGGCTCATATATTTCACAATCTAAACATATGTCACTGTTTCATAAACAAAATAAATGGATTAAGATAATACATTACCAATATGCTGACATGTGGAGATATTTTAATTAGAAATTCTTAAGCTGTGTGGTATTTAACTGCTGTATTTGCTAAGGAGAAGCATGCATCATTTAATAAGAAGCCATGAGACAGGTGTACCACTTTGCATGATATGGCACCAGATTGTATTCAATATAAACTACAACTATGAGGCAACATTATTCCCAATTAAAAGCAAAACAAAACAAAATTACTTAAAGGATCTATCATATGGAAAGTAACCATATAAAATGAATTAATACACTGAAACCACATTTTCATTTAAAAGAAAAGTTATTCAGAGCTTAGTTTCTGAGACAGTTTTTCAGAAACAATCTAACATCTTAGCTATTTAAAGGCCATGTTTACATGACTGCCTCATTATACTGGTCCCCCCGCCTTAACATTCTTCTTGACTTACTTGAAGGACCAATGCTAACATAGCTGAGGAAAGCAAATGGCAACTGGTCCTGAAATTTATACGGGTAGAGAATTGGAATAAGTAGCAATATAATATATTGTTTACTGTAGCAAGTGCCCTCTGTTCTCGAAAGGGCAAAAGCACTGTAACCTAAGAGTTACAGTTTCTGATTGTTCCCAGGGTTAAATACATTATCAAAATTAATGGTTCAAGCCCCTCAACCTTCAGATATATGAGTATTCACGCCTCCATCTGCTGAACTGTTCAACTAAAAATAGCATTCTTTGGCCTTCTCTCTCCTAATATTGTGCCCCTGAGGCAGAGAAAGCCATGGCTTGGATCAGCACAGAGTACCAAAAAAAGTAGGAAATCTTCCTGCATCTTTCTTTTTTTAAATAAAGAACTGGAATATAGTAATATAAGGAGATCTTTCCACTTCAAATATCTTTGCTTTACTTCATAACAAAATTTCAGGCTTCCAGGGTATAACTATAAATGCTGTTAAGATTTATCCAGGCTCATTAATGTTAGAAGTGACTACCTTTGAAGGACAAATTCACTGTAACTTCAGGTAGAGAGGAGCAGTTCTGGGCAAAGCAGCAGGATGTGTGTGGAGGCGGTGGGGTAGGGTGGTGGTATGGATCTTTCCTACATAAGCATTTCTGCTTAGAAAAGAAGCAGTTAACACAATTGCAATGATTCTGTAGTATCAACATTTTGTCATGATCATGACTGTTGACAGAGCTGTGACATTTCAGCTTGTCAATGGAGGGGAGAAAACCCTAGCTAGAAGAGAAAGCAGACTTTAAAATCAATAAAGCAAAATATTATTCAATTTTCTATTTTGCTCACAATTTAAAATGTTAGTATCTGTAGCAACTTATATATGGGTGTCTGCTGTGCTTTAAATGGACATCCCAATAAACACATTATACTCATACCAGGGAAGTTTGAGAAATCTGCCTTTCAAACAAGGCCAATCTTTTCTAATTGATGTGCCAAACAAGCAAACAGAGTAAAGGTTTCTCAACATGCAGAAGAACAGTACAAAAAATGGAAGCAAGAAAACAGAATGAGGATAGACAAAAACCCAGGGAACTCTCAAACCAGCCCAAACTTAAACTGCAAAGCTAAGGGGACTGGGTCCTCACATTAGTGGGCTCTCTAGCCTAATTAAAGTGACAGACATGTGGCTTATGCTGTGTTTGCAGATCAGCAATGTATGGCACCACACAGATCTGGCACTCACATATATGAGATCATGGTTTCCAGAAACCCAACAGAAACAAGATTTCACAGCATCAGAGATCAGTGATGGTGGTAGAGAGAAAAGGTAAAATAAGTAAAAAATTAATAAAAGAAGAGAATGGGTAGAAAACTGGCTAGGGGAAGGTTGGTAAGACAGAGCTCAATGTTACAAGAGAAAATTAAAGTCAAAGAGGAGAGGAAGCCCTGAATTTGAGCCAAGGCCACCTGCTTTCACATTCTCCCAAGCACTTAAAACTTTAACAAACAATCTGTCCTGAGCATAAGCTTGGTAAGTGTCATCACACAGAAAGGCTGTTCTTACTGTCCAGTTATGTCTCTGTTGAGCAATCCTAAGCATGGGAAGTTTGCAGAATGTCCAGAAATATGGCACCTCCCCTACAGCCAAAAGAAAACCTCAGAAAAGGAATCCCTTCCAGCTGCAAAGAAGACAGCAGACACTCTGACAGTATAAGCCTGGTCATGTCTGGGTGGAAACCCCCTGTCTACCTCTTATGTCAAAGTAAAAGGGAAAGAGGAAGGCAGGCAACAAGCTCTGGAACTCTTCCTTAGGCTACTTCCAAAGTGGCTTTTGATCTTGTCCTCCTCTTTCTTCTTAGGAGTGGTCTTCCTCTTTCATTTTCCAAAAATGCAGATTTAAAAGCAGCAGACAAGATAATGTCAGAGAGACACTTTATTGATTACATAGTATTTGATATGCATAGGCTGACAGAGTCAGTAGGATCTGAATGTACAACTTTCCAAGATGTAATTCCTTTCTTTTTTCTTTGAGTTGAATTTTCTACTCTAGGTTAGAATATAAACTTTAGTATAAGATCTAACCCAGATAGTTAAAGTGTATTTCAGTCTGAGGTAACTTGCCTCCATTTTTTTGTGATTCAACAGATAGCTGTCAACTCTTTAGTAGCTGATCATGCCAGAGAGGGACTCCAATAATATAGAAGAGGAATTAAGTGTGAAATTGGAAAGAGGACTGATTCTCTGTAGCAGAAAAGAGCTTGGTTTTCAAAAGAGCCATATAAGCCATCTTTTCCTAACTAGTAAGAATATCCCACAAAAACTACAAAGATCTTTATTGTAAGTTAAATATAAAAGGAATATTGTAGAAGTTTATGGAGCAAATAGCAACCACTCAGCCTAGGCACCCATCCCTACTTAGCCTGAGAAAACTAAATTAGAAAACTTGAATTGGGTGGAGTTAGAAATCTGGGGTAATCCTGACTCTAGGAATATTTTGTAGCATGGGTAAATAACTTGACTTCTCTGAACCTCCACTGTTGTCTATACAAGCAGAATTACATATTACCAACTCTACAGGGTTATTATATGGTTAAATGAGATTTTTAAAAAATGTTTGTGTTTTTAAATTTTTTAAAAACTTTTTTAAAATGCATTTTTATAGTGTTTAAAAACATTATACATAAAGAAAAAGAGTTAGTGAAATAAAGATGATTTTGAAGATACTCTTAATGTTAAGAATCTGCCTAAATATATAGCAATGAACAACCTACTTGAAGGCATTCGTTTTGGATTTGCCTTTTTCTCTGAAAGAAAAGGAGAAAAATGAGCCTCCTTAGGAATGAGAAAAAGGGAAAGATCACATTTTAGTGTTTAGCTTGAGTGTTCCCCACTTTTTAAAACAGCGTTGTAAGGTGACTGAACAATCTGGCCCCCCACCCAGTGAAGCACCAGTGAAAGCATTCATACCTCAATCTGTTTGTGGTTGTAAGAGTGGCCACCGCCATGCTCAAAGGTGTCCAAACTCCTGCCAAAACGGCCACTGAGGCCCTTTAGCCTTGGGTTAATTTGTGGGTGGGAGACATGACCCTTCTGTTTAGTAGCATATTCAGAAACAAAACAAAACAAAAGACAAAACACACTGTCAGAACTCATGAAACAGAACATGTATTTCTAAATCCAGGGTATCAACCACACCAAAGAATAGAAAGCAGCAGGTTTAGGACCCAGATACTCTCTTTCATAGAAACTTGGCTACAGGACCAAACAGTGGTATTGGTTTCTTATTTCTGTCTCTAACTCAAGAAGAAACTCCATAGCATAGCTATGGGAAAAGGAGAAATATATTAGGTTACTATGAGTGAGGTTTCTTTTTACATTTTTACAAACTGCATTAAGTTCCAGTGTTAGCAGTGGGGAAAGGGAAGGTTTGAGAGAGGTAGGGTTGCTCCTCCTGTCAGGCAAAATTTCTATCTCTGCTAAGCAGTCCCTAATGGGCAACATTTTCAAGGTTTTCTGGATGAGACTTATCACAAAAACTCAAAGTATTGCAGAAATTCCCTATTTGCAGACCCAATTGAAAATGCTAAAAATGAGGTTTGTGGCAAAATATTTGCATATTTTTAATGCTCAGGTGTATAGGGAATAGCAAAGTCATATAGAAGAAATAAAAATACCTAGCCAAATGTTATTCTATAAATTATTTGAGAAAACTCAAAAGTAATCACAATAATAAAAAACTATTTATACACTGTCCCTTGTATTGAAATTCAAGTGGTTGATTATCATATATTTTCTAAATGCCCAAACACTGAAGGTTGAATTATTTTAATGATGTTATTCTTTGTTTTTGTTAAAATATATTTCATATTAAAAAGTCAGTTCCCATTGAAATGGCAGTGCTAGCAGGGTGTAAAGATCACGTATTCCTACTGTAAAACCCTCACTTTACTGTGAAGAAGGTAGTGTGCAGATGATCCTTATTCAGCTTCCAACCCTTTCTGCCCTAGGTTAGTTTTACGGGTGAAGAACACTAATCCAGAACTCAGCCAGACACAATGCCAAGACTTTTGACCCAGCATGAAGATGACGATGAAGGTACACATATTTAGGGGCCATTTGTTTACATTTTGCCAAATAGTTAAAGTAATTTGGTGATGACAACTCCCTATTCTATGAGCTGCGAGAAGGAAAATGCCTAACATTGTTTTCTGCTTCTTTTCTTTTGTATAAAAGATAATCTGGACAGAAACAGAGATGTGGATGGAAAATTGATAAGGAAATGCTAATATAGCCAATAACAGCTAGCCATAAAAAATGTAAAACCATTAACTCAACTGGTAGAGAGTATAGTGTAAATTTTTCCTTTAAAGATATTGGAATTGTCAGTTTTCTCTTCTTTTTGCAGTATGGTAAGTAGATAAGGTGTTAATCCTTCTAGGCTATACTTAAAAAATTATTGAACATTCAGGCCATTATTTAGCATACAGCTGGTTAGCAGTTTTCCACTAAAATATTGGCTCATATCCCACATTTTTTTCGTCTGGCACTTACCTGGAGCTGTAAAGGGCTGAGTCCAGAAGTAGCAGCAGCTGCCATTGTTGATGAAATGAACTGTACCGGGTAGTTATCACCTGTCGGAAAGAACAATGCATACAGGTTTAGACAATGCACAGGGAATCACATCAGACAAGTATAAACATGGTCCTTGGATTGCCTGAGCTTTACAACATTGCTCTAAGCCCAAACATCTGCAGAAACAAAAGGCTTAGTTGGGCACAGACTTGCAGTGCTGCCTTGCAACTTTTTGTTAACAGATAGCTGGTAGGCAAACTGGCAAAACATGAATGTGATGTTAAAAAAATTAAATGTGCAATTCAAGCATGTTCACTCCATTACAAATCTTGTAATACATCATTTTTTTAAGAGTAAAAAAATACCTTAAAGCCAGGCTGACACTCAGTTCACTAAGAAAGCATTAAGGCTTTTATATTAGAACAACAAGAAGTTTTGGATTGGTAGGCAAGACAGAGTATGAGAGTCCAAAAAAGATTATGAGCTATTAACTGTCCATAACTCTAAAGGTTATTTTATAAAAAATAAGGGAAAAAATTTTTTAAATGCAACCTTTTCATTTGATAGGGGTGAGAGGGAAGTTAATCTTAACTGCCAACATTCTGTGAAATGCCTGGTATCTCAAACAAGATTCGAAATAGTATTTTTCTGGCTTGACTTCTGGTGGATCCTAATAGAGAATCAAGTACACTAGGCACTTATCACTTATTCCTTGATGCAATTCGATTAAATTACCTCAATTTTACATGGGATATCTGCACTGAAAGACTGGTAGAGATTGAGCCTGGCTCAGCAGAGATCACTGCTACATTTTAATATGTTCTGACTCCAGGCCACTCCTAAACAGGGGGACGGAAGAATCGTTTGTGACCTAAGAGCACAGGCTGTGTGCGGTGACCTGAAGAAACAAGAGGAAGTGATGAGGAATGTATTGTGACAGGGGTTACTGGAACCAAAATTAATACTTGTAGATAAATTACACAATATCAGTGATTTAATGGAATATCACTTTGGCTTCAGCTACTTATTTAAAGTCAGCGTTACGTACTATCTCTAGGCTATATTTTAATAGGCTGTTCCTCCACACATTTTTGACATTTATAATAATCAGGCTGTTTTGCATGAACTTTTCCACACTGAAAGCTGGATGTAATAATGAAGAGACAGTGTAGAAAGAATCACAGTAATAAAGGTAGTCAACTGAAAAGCAATAAAACCTCCTTCTTTTCTGCACGGACAGTGCAATGTGGAGCCTTCCTAGGGCCTCTGGTTCCTTGGAACTCATCCTGCTTACCACATGACGTGCCACTCAGCTGGCCCAATGTAAATGTTAAGTTGCTTTCACTTTTAACAAATTGTTAGCTTCTAATCTACCCAGTCTCTGGGCATCATATCCATAATACCTCATCAGACCATTGAGCACAGTGTGCGCTTGTACACAGTCCAGTAACAATTGGCTTCTGATTGCATATGGAGCGCTGCTACAATGCATCCACTAACACTATATTGTGTTGGTCTCCTATGGAGTAATGTTCAAAATATCTGATCTTGTTTTTCCCCTTCCATGAGGTTGATTTTGGTTTGCAGTGCTACATGAGCTTTTTTAAAAAGATAACTAGGCCAAATTATTTTTTATAGTGAATGACTGTCGCTTTATGCTTAAATAATTCAACTGATCTTCTTGATATTTAAACTAAATTATCTGCAGAAAGAATATCCTAATCTAAGTCAAATAGTGCTTCTTTGGTTGATATCTTATCAGGTTAAAAAAAATCACAAAACGATGTTGAATTAATGATGCTTCAAAAATAGGGGAAAAAATCACCATTCCAACCATCAACATGGACTGCCTCCCGGAACATTTTAGAGCTCTTTCTTTAACTATCATGCATTATTCATGCTAACTCTAAACCACAAACCCCCCTCCCTGTAAGTTTAATACCAGTTGCTTTATTTGTACTAAAACATTTTTCATGTCAAACATATTTTTAAAAATCCAACTCTAAAAGAATTCCCCAGGGCACTCCTTTTTTCATAGCTGTCATGCTTCTATGCTACGAAATAGCTGATTTTTTTAATATAGTTTTTGGCTTGCCAGTTAATTTATTACTATCTCTACCACACCCTGTAGTACTCTCCAACTCACCTGGTGGCTACAAACAGCTTTCTTTCCACTGCTGACAAGCATATTTTTAAAACATTCTTAACCTTTCTGCTAGTTTGAATCTGTATATCTGAATGTAATCTTTGCAAAGCTATTTCTCTAAGATATATCATTGCATCAATACTAAAAGTAAAAAAGAAAACATTAGAGCAACTGAGTATATGACAGAGAATGATTAAAAGATAGAGAAAAAGGAAAAGACAGGAGCGGGCGAAGATAAGGGTGAAGAAGGGGGTGTGTTAAAAATAGGAGAGAAAAAAGTAAGAGGGAGAGGATTGAGGGTATTGTGAGGTTTGATTTTTTTAATAACAAAGTTAATAAATATGTCCATTCCCCTCCCCCTCTTTAACTTTCTCTGTGTTAGAATCATCAAGAAAAAGTTCTCAGTGGCTGACTTGGCAAGGAATCAGTCAACATGTTGTAGCAATTTTTTTCAAATTTGTCTCTGGATTTGAAATGCTTTGCGTGAGGACCTATTCTTTTCAAATTTGTACAAAGGAAGGTGAAGCCTGTTGGAACAGGTTGTCTTAAGGCACTATTGCAATCTGACCCTTGCTACCTGTAGCATAAGAAGACAATCTCCAAAAACCCATTTGGGAAATAATGCCCATTCTGCTAATCTTTCCAGCCTTCCAGATTTTCCAACTGACTGTTTTTATCTGAAGATTACAGAACAAGTATGAAAAAGGATTTAAACCTATGGAAAATTCGCCTGACAGTAGCTTCACTTGTCACAATAGGCAACATTCCTTTGGAATCAAAGCAGCTCCACAGGCAAGAGTCCCCGAATGAAAGACAGTATGTTTCTTAATTTTCCAGGAAACTGGAATGAAGCCAAAACTTTAAGACTTACACACAGGAGAATTGGGAGGTTCTACTATGAACGTAGGACCCATTAGTCTACCTTCTGCAAATATACTCCTAGTTTGTACAATTCAGATATAAATTCCAGTTTTATTAAAGAGTCAAAGATCTCATGGGAAAATTCTTTTGATTTACTTTGATTCTTTAGAAGGACAAAGGACTAGGATGATTGTAGTCATTTGATATATTTAACTTCAGATATTAATCTATTGAGGAAATAATTTAGAGAGGTTAAGAAGAGTAGAGTAGAAAAATACATTAAAGTAGGAGACAGGTTTAAAAAAAATTCTTCAGTAACTGGCTCAAAGTCTCATATCTCATTTTCCATCTTCCAAAACAGTAATACAATATACTACATATCCCAATCTCACAGACTATTGTGCAGCATCATCACAAGATGATTGTAAATTGTTTGAGTTGCCAAACAACTTATTGATAGACTCCACTTCTATGAGCTACTGTCATTCTTGCACAATATACAAATATTTCAGTCACAACCACCAATATAAACTTGGACACGCCACTTTGCATCTTGCCTGGCTGTATGTATTCAGAATAGCAAAATATTACAACTCCTGCATATTCTGAAAGGATGCCATAATCAATCTGAATTTATCTTTGGGAGACACCACACTACAGCAAAAGGGTGGTAGGTAATGGGGTGACACATTTAGAAACTTAAAAATAAAACAAAATATTTAATCTGTGTTGAGGACAGCTGGACAAAATGTGCCACCTTATTTCTGATTTATTTTAGTATTCTTACGCTAAATTACTCTACCTTTATTCATCAAAAAATAGACCAATGATGAGTAGAGACTTGATCCCAGGACTTCTTCTAAGAGCATTTGCACTGTTCTTCAGACCTTTAAAGAAGCTAAGAATCAAGCTTAGCTTGATTTCGTCACTTCTTTTCTTAATGTCTTTACTTATTTCATAGATGTACCAGGTCTTTGGCTGATCATGTGAAAAATGGAATTTGTCACAGTAGAAATTAAATAAGTGAGTATGAATGAACTGGTATAAATCTACTCCCATTATAAGAAATTAACTTGAAACAACAACTCAGGGTTCATGCCTTAATGATAGTTCATCAATGATATAGCTTCTATATCTGAAGGAGGGCACAGTTAAAATAATATCAGTCTCCATAAAACTGGGTTAGTTTTCATGGGTGAATATATTTTCTTCTTGGACCTCAACACTCTTATTTAAAAATGAGTGTACTACTTGGAAGAACCTAAGAATTATTTGATTTCAAGTAGATATATTTAATTAATCAAGTATTCCAGCAATAGTGATTACATACCTCTGCTTTAAAGATTCTGGAAGAGGTGGAAATGACCAGTTTTACAAGATGTCATTTGGATAAACCCATACATATAAGTCACATTTTTCCACAGCAAAAATGCCCTATACTTTTCTCAGTATCACACATACTAGGACAATGTTTGCAGGAGTATAAAATACCAAATCAGAGAACTTTAGTCTGAATTCTATCGCCACTTATTTCCAGGTGGAAAGCTTGGAAAAATTAACACTAATCCTTCCCCAAATCTTCAAAAATATTGAAAAAGAGGAAATGCTTCCTAACTATGAGGTAATGAGATCAGCATTACCTTGATACAAAGCCAGATACAGACATCATAAGAAAAGAAAATTACATACCAACATCTTTTATAAATATAGATGGAAAATTCCTCAACAAAATATTAATTTATTGAATCCTAATCCATATTGAATGGATTATCACCATGACAAACTAGGATTTATCCCAGGAATGCAAGGGTGGTTCAACAATTAAAAAAATCAATGTAATGAATCACACTAACAGGACAAATGGAAAGAAATCCACATGATCATCTCAGTTGATGCAGAAAAGGCATCTGATAAAAACCAACACTCTTTAATGATAAAAACTCTCAGCAACCTAGGAATAGAGAGAATGTTCCTCAACATGATGAAGGGTATTTATGAAAAACCCACAGCTAAGATCATATCCAATTGTAAAAGACTGCAAGTTTTCTGCCT